CTTGAGGGATAGATTAAAGCTATCAACTCACCAGTGATCACAGCTAATTCAGTCTCTGGCATAAAGTAGCTAGAGGTGGTGGGCGCCTGGGTGGCTCAGTTGGTTAAGTGACTGCTTTCAGCTCAGGTCATGATCCTGGAGTCCCTGGATCGAGTCCCACATCGGGCTCCCTGCTCGGCAGGGAGTCTGCTTCTCCCTCTGACCCTCCCCCCCCTCATGTGCTCTCTCTCTCTCATTCTCTCTGTCTCAAATAAATAAATAGAATCTTAAAAAAAAAAAAAAAGTAGCTAGAGGTGGCTACGAGAAAGGCCAAACAGTAGGCAATGAAAAGGAGGACAAAGGAGATGACAGCTTTCATGGCTCCCACGTGGGCTTCTATGCTGAAGTCTCTGCACCCTGTGGCATTGAGTTTCATCCGCCTGGTATGTCTCCAGAGGGAGAGGATCAAGAGGAGAAATGAGATCAGGGACACAGAAAAGGGGAATAGCGTTAACAGGTTGACGCAAATCTTGATAGAAGCATATTGAGCTTTATTTACTCTGCATCTCACAGTTAAGTTTGTTTTCTTCTTTGTCCTAACACAATACCTGAAATCATCATTCAAATTCTCAGTGACAAAAAGGCTAATAAACACAGAGAGGACCAAGCACCCCAGCAGGGTCCTAGGAATCACACTGTCAATTCTCTTCTTCATCCAGAGGAAAAGAGGATGGAAGAAATTCACAATCTTGAGGAAATAGAAAATGCTGAGACAGGTGGCAAACCAGACACTTAAATGGTTGGTTAGTGTTCAGAAAAAATCAATGATTCTCATTTGTTTACCGGTAGTATACACGTCTGGATACAGCACCAATATAAAACAATCTAATAGTATTATACATAATAGACAAATTCTGGATATGGCCAGACTTGTGAGGATTAAATCAACGGAGGCAATCTTCCTATTCTTGATCCAACCCATGCAGTTCACCAATCCAATGAATGCATTTCCTAAAATCCCCATTGAAAACTCTCCAGCTGCCATGAGCATTAAGGTGGTCTCCACTTTATCCGGCATGTTAAAATACAGAAATATCCAGGGGCGCCTGGGTGGCTCAGTTGGTTAAGCGACTGCCTTCGGCTCAGGTCATGATCCTGGAGTCCCGGGATCGAGTCCCGCATCGGGCTCCCTGCTCGGCGGGGAACCTGCTTCTCCCTTTGACCCTCCCCCATCTCGTGCTCTCTCTCTCTGTCTCATTCTCCCTCTCAAATAAATAAATAAAATCTTTAAAAAAAAAATACAGAAATATCCAATTCGTTTCTAGTTGAACTGATATAGTTTGATAGGTACACCTACTTCTTAGATTTTGCTATAATTTTATTTGCCTCTCTTATTGTAGTCTGTCTTAGGGTAGAGACTGGAGTGAGAAACGAAGACTATGGCTATCATCATTAAATCCTAATTAGTCTTGAGAAGCAAATGTGGCTGGCAATCCCTGGCCTGGCCACTGCACGTATCACCTGTATGTAAAACCCATATCAGCAGGCTTTATTTTTCCACATATGGTTAATTTAGGCTGAGCTGCATTTTAGTATGCAAATTAGACCTGTTCCCTTGCATGGTCCTGCACTGTCTATGCTTTGCAAGGCTATGTTTTGCAAGTTTTGGATTCATTAATCTGCAACATATACTAGTAGCCTCAATAAGGCTGCTAGATTTAACAAATAAAAATACAGGACACCCAGTTAAACTTGAATTTCAAATAAACAATGAATGATTTTTTTTTTTTAGTATATGTCCCAAATTGCATGAGATTAGCACTTCCAAGAAGTACTAAAATTCAAATTTAATTGGATGTCCTGTATTTTATCTGGCAAATTTAAATTCCAAGGATTTTCCAGCAATTAGAAAACAGGCCAAAATTGAAATTTGTAGAGCAATCTTCATTTTGCTAAATGATAATATTGATTACTGCTAAAAATCCAAAGTTTGGGTTAACATTGAGAATTATACATTTTCAGGGATTTAAAAGGTTACACTAAATATAGCTTATTTGGGTCTAAAAAAATATTTTAGCTCATTTATCTTGGTTGTTCAGATGAAGAGTTACATGCACAAGGTCTCTTAAAATAATGCATTGTTTTCTTAGTCAAGTCAATTTAATGGTTATTTAGTTTGTGATGCTATATATGATAAGATGAAGGAGCCCTAATGGAGTATTGATTACCTTTATATTTTCCTTTTACATTTAAAATGTTCTCGAGTGCAGTTGTACATATGAGAGAAGAGATTAAAATCCTGTGTTTTGATCTACTCTCCACCCTCCACCATGCCAAATTGCATCTGAGAATCTAGATCCTTAGCCTTTCTAGACTATCAGGCAAGAGACTGATGATTAAGTTTACCTCACTCTTACAGGCTACTCTTATTTTGAAGTAGGTTCTCTAATTTAGAGTTACTGAGAAACACTTTGCTACATAGTATTTCCATGGAATAATTCTGCCGGCTGATACTTTCTTTGGGAACACGTATCTTCCCATCCTTCCTTAAAGGACAAACTCCTAAAATGCAGCCCTGATTTTTGGACACACTATCTCATTTTGCAGCCATGTTCACAGATGACTGCTTTCTTCTGATCCTAGAAATGATCCCTGACCCAAGCACATCATTTTCTTCTCCACAGTGCCCTGGTAAATAAAGGGCCTCAGTAACTATGATAATACCTTTACCCAAATACATTTTTATACGTCTTTGTTTTTTGTCTTTTTTGCAGGTAAGTACAGATTTTCTGCATACTTGTGTTGTATAGCGTGTAAGTTATAGTGCAGCTACTATGGAAACAGGATGAAAGTTCCTCAAAAGATTAAAAATACAGCTACCACATGATCCAGCATCCCCAAATCTGGGTATTTCTCTAAAAGAATTGAAATCAGGATCTCAAAGTGATATTAGCGCTCATGTTTATTGCAGTGTTATGCACAACAGCTAAATGTAGAAACACTCTAATTGCCCATTGACATATGAATGAATAAAAAGAATGTGTTACATACAGACAATGGAACATCACTCAGTTTTAAAGAGAAGAAAATTTTGCAATATACAAAAACCTAGGTGGACTTGGAGGACATTATGCTGAGTTAAATGAGCTAGTTACAAAAGGACAAATATTGCCCTATTCCACTTGTATAGTTATCTAGAATAGTCAGGTAATAAAAGCAAAGAGTAAAATAGTAGTTGCCAGGGCCTGAGGGGAGATAAGAATGCAGAGTTGCTATTCAATGAGTATCAAGTTTCAGTTACTCAAGATGAATAAATTCTAGAGATATGCTCTACGATATTGTGCCTATAGTTAACAACACTATATTGTACACTTAAAAATTTGTTAAAAGCATAGATCTCATACTCTGGTTTCTCTTCAGATCACATAAATCTTTCGCCTTTTAAAAGCATAGATCTCATATTGAATGCCCTACTACAATAAAAAAAAAATAGAAAAGAAAACAGAAAAAAAAAATTGCAAGAGAGCATTTTGTCACCAGCTTACTACTTTGAACCCTTACTACTTTGAACTATTTTGAACTTTGGTGGTCAGTGGAGGTACTTCAAACACTGAAGATACAGAAAACTAAACATGGAAGGAAGGACTTCACACTAACGGAGGGAAACTTTCCCAGAAGTACTAATCTTACAAAACATTTATTTCATCTAAACTTGCAGAAGAATGTAAAGTTCATTCCAGTGTAGGATTAACAGGTATTTTGTAGAATATACTAATATATTCCATCAAAAGAATATCAATTCTCCTGTCTTGTACAACAAATAGCAATTTAAATGCTAAGATATTAGAAATATAGTTGATGAAGTTTATGTACTTAAGACTGTAAATATTGGGACTTTCCAGAGTGAATTTTACATCATCATATGCAAAAAAGTGGATAATCTTCAGGTAATTAATATTTTGGTCATAACAAAACAAAATAAGTAGATTGAAATAGACCAGATTTTGACATAGCACATGGTAGGACCTGAAATGCACAGCCATATCAGAACAGACATGAACTTAGATATTCCAGATCAAGTGTTTCAACACTACTCTAGTGAGGAAGGATTTGATGTTCACAGTAGAACAACAATTTAGTAGTGACTCTTATTTTTTATTATCTTTTTGTAATTTACTCTGTATGTGTTATGGCATACATTGCTTTTTTAGTGATAGCATGTAGTTATTCCAAAATGTATGTTAATTTCTTCCCAATTAATTGCTTTTCTAAAGTCCTGAGTAAAAAGAACCCCTGCAGGTCTTATTAAGAAAGGAGCCTGAGTAAAGCAGTCTGATCGAAATTAATTGTCCCATCCCTTTATCCAGATTGTGAAGAGGACTTAGGAATGTCCGTAGGGAGAGATACTTGAAAGGGATCTATTCCCATCCTATTGCTGCCTGAACAGCAAGTTGTTTGTAAGGAAATTTAATTTCAAGGAAAATGAATAAAGAGGTGCCAGAATAAAGTCAACCAGGAAATATTATCTAGGAGACCACCTAAAGCATCACTCATCTGGGAGGAGACAGATACATAACTGGGACACTGAACCAGAGATGGGACAGGGGAGATCTGAGTTCCTAGTTAATAAGCCAAATGAGAGTGACCCAACAGAGCCATGAAGGGAGCAAAATTAAGGGTCAGCTATGAAAAAATGTATGATAGGAAAAAAATGAAAAAACAGTGCGGTTCAGTGCTCTTTATCATGGGCCTAAGTAAAAACTCAAAGGAACTTAACTAGGCAGTACATGCCTAACATCTGCAGTAAGAAGGCAAAAAGGGAAGTGTGAGCTCTCAAACTCTTGGAGGAAAGGGCGTGTGAAGATGAGAATCTGGAGCGTACACAGACAAAAGGGATATATACATTCAAGTGCTAATAGGTCTCAAGAACACTTAAAGATGTTACCCGAAATAAGCAGGATAACTGGAAAAAATGAGAATGTATTTTTTATTAGCAAAGTCCATTTATAAAACTAAGATTTTTACATCATGCAGACTGTTCTCCCATATCTCAGCATCCTGATATATGTCTGCCTCAGCTTGTTATTTCTAATAATTAAAAGAAGTGAATGACCGGAAGGATAGAGAATTGCTATAATTTCTCCTAACATCACAGCTAACTTGCTTTCTTTCATAGGGTAGCTAAAAGTCGCCAAAAGAGAAGCCCCATAGTATACAAAAAGGAGGAAGAGAAATGAAGTCATAGTTTTCATGGCTCTCACATGGGCCTCTGTGCTGGGGTCTCCACAGCCTGTAACACTGAGTTTCATTTGCTTGATATGTCTCCACAGGGACATAATTAAAAGGAAAAATGAGATCAATGATACAGTACATGGGACAATTGCCAACAGGTTAAAGAGAGTCAAAGGGTTGAAGTATTGACTTTTACTCACATGGAACATTTCAGTGCAGTTTCTTTTATGATTTATAATTTTATGAAACTCATAATCATAATTTGGTGTTGTTGCTAGTATAAGGCTGATCAAAAGAGGAAATGGCCAAACAACCCAGCAGAATCCAGTGAATCACTCTGTCAGTTCTTCTCTTTAGCCAGAGAAAAAGTGGATGGGAGAAATTGGCTATCTTGAACATTGAGGCAGGTGGCAAACCACGTACTTAAGTAGTTGGTGGGTGTCCAGAAGATACTAATGACTGCCTGTAGCTTATCATTTTATTTTTTATTTTTTATTTTTTTATTTTTTTTAAAGATTTTATTCAGAGATTCTCTCTGAGACAGAGAGAATGAGAGACAGAGAGCATGAGAGGGAGGAGGGTCAGAGGGAGAAGCAGACTCCCCGCTGAGCAGGGAGCCCGATGCGGGACTCGATCCAGGGACTCCAGGATCATGACCTGAGCCGAAGGCAGTCGCTTAACCAACTGAGCCACCCAGGCGCCCTGTAGCTTATCATTTTCATAAAAATCTGGGTAGCATACCATTATGATGCCACTTAGTATCAATACACAGAGCAAACAAATTCTGGAGATGGCTAGACTGGTGAGGATATAGTCAATTGAGGAGATCTTTTTCTTCTTAATCCAGTCAATCCAGTTTACTAGTCCAATGTATACATTCCCCAACATTCCTATTATGAATTCTCCAGTTACAATGATCACAAAGATGTTGTCTTCCGTACTGAGCATGTTGGTAGGGAGAAGACCCTGATCTCTAATATCACTACAGATGGGCTAATTTACAGACGCTCAGTTGGAGCATGGTAAATAAGTTCTTCAAATCATGGAATAATATTTTCATCTCATCCACTATTTTGACTTTAACATAATTCCAGAAGTACCCAGCTCTCTTTTGAAATAGAATTGCTTCTCCATTCATGAGGACAACCAACTGGTTGCTCCAAAGAGTTTGACTAGCTTTGAGCCAGGGCAAATTATAATCATCACCCTTTAGTGAGTGATAAGGGAAATGTTTGCTTGAAACTGCTCTTATACAAATTAAAAGAGATTATATTTCATGAATTTGCAACAGGCTTCTTGCTGTTAAGTTCTGTGTATTTTGACCCTGTCAAATTGAATTTTGAATACAAAGCCACAGAAAGCAAACGAAAACATGTATTCCATAAAAATCACAATGTGTAAATGAAAGTCCATTTTCTTCACCATAAATTATAAATTAATCAAAAGTTTCCTAGTGGAAATGAATTTTAATTTTGGAAATGATCAGTACAATCAGTTGTAGAAAATTAACTTTCAGTCAGAGGATAGTAATTTTGTTTTCATATAAATGATTAATTCGAGAAGGGTATGATACAAATCTAATTATAAATGACATAGTGTTATTAGGCAGGCACATGGCAATATTTACTAAAAATTTTTTCTCTATGGAGTTTTTTTTAATAGAAGTGAAAGATGCTAGATAAATCTGCTATGTTTGGTTTTATTTAATATGGGAAATGCTGTCCATGACAATTCACTTCCTGAAATGTTGTCTCTTGGATAATGAATATTTTCATATAAAATTAAGAAAACACACTTTATACTATTTACAATCAACTCCTTTTATAAGATTTATAATCTCACATTCTACATTGTAGTCATTTCTCTAGATGGGGCAATCACCTTTAAGAAAATATTTACTGAATTATATTTCCAGGGAATAGGACTAAGTCTACTGTTAAATTGATTTATTCTTTCTTGGGAAACCTAGCCCACAAATCTAGGTAATACAAATCACATAAACTAGGTAATACAAATCACAGAATCTAGGTAATACAAATCGCATAAACTAGGGTTCTTCTAATTTTATTTAAGTACTTCTATAATGTAAGAAACATATCTAGTATTTTTCCTATTTCTTATGTGTGCATAGTGTGTAATAGGAAAGCATGAAGTTAATAATTTAAGGAAAACTAGTTATCTGTAAAATGTTATCAGAAACAGAATAGAAAAGAGAATGATGCTAAAACAAAACAAAACAAAATAAAAAACACATGTCAAAGATTCTTGAGTCTAGAAGGATAGGAAAACATTCCAAAGAATCTTTGAGAACTGACTCCTAAAACTGGCATCACCAGCTAGGATGGTTTGATATGCATATTTCTAACTGTGCACCCCTTATCCCCTTTCCTAGTCAAACCTTTTCTTGAGATCACCCCTCTTTTCTTACATTATATTTCACCCTAGGGAGGTTCTCACCAGAGTGTTTTTTCTCCATCCTTATGAGGACAAGCCATTCTAGAAATGGAGAGGACAGGGCAGAAAAGATAAGTACTGACTTCCAGCTCAAAGTAGATAGTTTTTTACATGATTGATTTTATAGGAAGGACTGATATGTTTTAAAATCTCTTCCCCAAAGTCTGTTTGCTTAAAATTCTTCTACTTTTTGAGTTCAAGGCCTTTACCAGATATGACAGAAATAAGTAGAATCTCTTTGCATTTAGGCAATGATATGAAATGTTAGCATGGGATTTGGATTCATTTTTTCCTGCAAAGACAAAGAAATATATGTGGTTCAATAACATTTCATTTAAAGTTAACCAGAACAGAAATGTTAAGGAACACAAAGGAAAATTTAGGATAATGATAGATATTAATGATTTCTAAAGCATGTATAAAAAAATGAATGTAATCAATTGGGAGAAGGGAGAAGGTCTTTTGTTGATTTCTTCTTGTATTCAGGATTCTCTGTGGAACGAAAGGTTTCCTTCTTCTGTGGAAACTCTTCACAATCCTTAGCACTTTCAGAAAAGCCTCCCTCAGTTTGCTGTTCCTCATTATCAGGATGAACAAATGGCTTGATGGGAAAATGACAGCTATCACGCCACCAAACATCACCACTAATTTTCCCTGAGGAATCAGCAAGCTAGAGGTTACTACAAGAAAGGCTGCATAGTACATAATGAAGAGAAGCAGAAAGATGATCACTGCCTTTATGTCCCTCATGTGGGCCTCTGTGCTGGGGTCTCTGGACCCTGTGGCATTAAGTTTCATCTGCTTGGTATGTTTAAATAGGGAGAAAAGTAACAAGAGAAATGAGGTTAGGCAAAGAACAAAGGGAATGATAGCCTCCAGGTTCAGGATAACCAGTTTGAAAGCACTTGGGATTTTACTCACTTTGAATTCCCAAGTTATGTTTTCCTTATGATTGCCTTTGAAGGGATCCCAGAAGTCCTCATTCAATGAAACACTAATAATTATACAGGTAAGGAAGGACATCAGAAAAATCCCCAGGACGACTCTGTTAATCTTTAGTTTCAGCCAGAGGAAAAATAGGTGGGATATATTGGCTATCTTCAGTAAATAGAACATGCTGAGGCAAGAAGTAAACCAGACACTTGAATGATTGCTAAGTGTCCAGAAAACATCCACAATGCTCATTAGCTTGCTACCGCCATATCTATCTCGGGAGATACATAAATAAAGCCATCTAGGGCACCTGGGTGGCTCAGTTGGTTAAGCGACTGCCTTCGGCTCAGGTCATGATCCTGGAGTCCCTGGATCGAGTCCCATATCAGGCTCCCTGCTCAGCAGGGAGTCTGCTTCTGCCTCTGACCCTCCCCCCTCTCATGTGCTCTCTCTCTCTCTCATTCTCTCTCTCTCAAATAAATAAAATCTTTAAAAAAAATAAATAAAGCCATCTAAAGATATCAAACACAACAAACAGATTCTGGAGATTGGTAAGCTCACCAAGATAATGTCAATCCATTTTCCCAAATTCCTATAGTCAATTCACCAGCGATCGGGATGGTAGAAATTACCTCCGTTGTACTTAGCCTGTCAGCAGAGAGTTCTGACTTGGGATATCACTGATGATGAATTGGCTTTCAGCTGACCAGTGAAGAATGGTGTATATATATGTCTGTCATGTAGGTCATGCTGAAGTTGTCTTTTTCTGTCCTCTTTGTCAGCTTTGATCCAGGTCAGTGAGATAGCCAGTCTGCTCTGGGTGAGAACTACCTAAAGACTTCACTGATTGGCCAGTAATATCTTTCATGTGCAGTGATGATTGAAAGCCTCCAAGATGAAAATAGGAATGGATCTGATTTCTTGGATTTGCACAATCTTTCTCATTTTAAGCTTTGTATATTTTGGAGTTATCGAATTTAAGCTTTTGACCAGGAACTTCAAGAAAAAAGTTAATTACTTGGAAAATATGGATCCAATTTAATTTGCAGATGTGGCACATTACCGTCTCTGATGACTTGCAAAGTACTCCCAGATTATGGTCCATTTGGTGCAAATGCATGTTTTGGAGCTTAAAAATAATTGTGGGTTTAGAGTGTTGACAGTTAACATGACTAATTTCAGTCTTAAAGCAATGTATTCACTTCATTAATTAGGATAACTCGGTGGGCAGCAGTGGTTTTCAATTTTCTCGTAAAGATGATTACTTGACTTTCCAGCTCTTCCGTCCTGTAATGGGGAAGACTGAGCACTGAAGACATTCCAGTTGTGCCTGTCATTACTCAGAATTTGACCTCAGAATCTGTATGTTAAAATCTGAGTGCAATCTTCTTTATAATGCTTTTATAATAATGGATACCAATTTCAAAGACAAAACATATTGGATCATATGTTTACTATTTGTATACTTTTTTGGTTGCCCTCCATCCCTGGGACCCCTTCCATAGGGAAGAGAGCCCACACACCCGTGTCCCCCGCTCCTGGCCCTGGCGGAGGTGGTGCCCGGGAGAGCCCCTGGGGCGCGCCTGGGGCCAGCCGGCTTGGGGTCAGCTCCCTTCGCGTTGATCCTGGGGGCACACTGAGATCTGTCCACCCCCTTAAAGTCTGGTTTCCTGCCCCTCCTCTCCACTGCTGAAATCACCCCCAGGCCCAGTGATTGTGGACCACCTTGGAAAGATCAGGAATTCTCCAAAGTTAGGGCAACATTTAAATCAATTTATGACTCACCACGGTCACACCTGCCATTCGTTGGTGAACGGCTGAACTGAGGGAGGGTGAAAGAGCAGAAGCTTATTCCTTGATTTTCACACAGCTCATGGGGCTCTTTGCTTTTCCAAAACATTTGAAGCAACATAATTAAAAAGTGAGTAAAACAAACAAAATACAAATAGGAAGAAGCAACCAGAAATAAGTGAAATTGATTACCAATAGGGAGTGATTTAAAATGAGATGGAAGTTATGGAAAGCAGGTTACACCATTATCAGTATGCCTTTTGTACAGTTTTGAGTCTTGATGCTGATGTTTGAGAAAATAAAATAAAATAAGGGCTGGAGAAAAAAAACCTAAAGCAAAATGCAATTAAAATACAGCCCTTACTTTTTCAAATTAATAATATAACCAATGCTGAAGGGAAAAAAAGAGAACCAACCAAAATAACTTTTTTTTCCAAAATTACTTTTCAACAGATTTTTGACTATATGTGCTCACATAGGCATACATTAACTGTAAAGAAGTATCGAAGTGTAGTTACTACTCTTTCTTTTTCTTTCTTTCTCTTTTTTTTTTTTTTCCTACAAGTGGTATGTGTTAGCAAATCTGAAACTACTTTCAGTGTATTTTAGGATTGAACAAATGAGTATATATACTGAAAAAAAAATGAGATCCATGTTTTTCATTGTGAAAGACAGGATTTACAACATGGAAAGAATAGTCTGTATTTTTTAACTGAATTAGAGCTACCAGTATAGATTCGTCATATACATACATATATATAGAAAAACAG